GCACTTAATAAATTATTTTGCTAAACCAACTGTGATATAAACCAACTTATCAAGATGGACTTCTTGAATAGAAAATCTAGAAATTATGCTCGAAATTAAATTATTGAGCAAGTTACCTCGCAAACACCGGCCAGGTTGCGGGTTAATAATAATCGCACATGTAACCATCTCATACATGCATCTTATGTGGTATAATGGCAGGTGAATGAGCACATATTCACCTTTGATATTTCCAGCATTCATGGGATTCAATCCCAATTTTAGTTGGTCAATTAATTAATGAGAACAAGCAATATAAGAGATTTCATAAAGAACTTTCTAGTTCTTTAAGATTTACCCATGTGACTTCTCTATTATTTTTGCACATCATACTTAAATTGATATGGCTAAACCAATTATGCCAACTGAATAAATTATCAATATTGATAAACTTCAGATTTACACTATAATATGTGCAATTATCAATAAACTCCAAGTTTATTTTGATATGGGTTTTTATATCAATAAACTTCTACTTCATTGTGACATTCTTTTATTTGTGTAGTACAAACTAGAGAATAAAGCGGGTAATTTTTAACATACATATTACCCTGCTACAAGTTATAGTAATAGAAGATATTAAATCTTTCCTTTATTTATAGTCTCAATATAATCAACCGCTTTTGCGTACACTTTGGAAACTGAATAAGTTTCTTTAAGACTTACTACAACACAATACCTTATAGGTAATCAATTGTGTTTCTCCAAAATAGTATAATTGGCTCTTCTAGAGCTCTCAATTAATTTGGTACTACCACATATTCATCAACATCTATATGGTGAATATCTCTTTTAAAGAGAAAGTTATGTCATTATAGTTATGGTCAAAATTATATGCAAAATATGTTTCTTGCATTAATGTTATTCTTTAATAATCACATTACCAAAATATTTTGGCGTGCAATAGGTACATAACCAATGACCATTCATGCCATAATAATGATATTATTTTCTTATATCATCTTAAACCTCCTTCTAGAGGTGAGTGTGGTATATTCACTATCACTAGCACGTTCATATTCTTTCAAGAATGAATATGTTATTCACAAATCAGATGTTGTCACATTCACATCATAAATGGACCATAATCATCTATATGTGCTTTATAAAATCTCATGTCAAATCGATGACAAATATTACTTTCACAGAGTGAAAGATTATTTTGAGAATCCTTATTATTCTCATTATCACAATGATGACGATTATAATTTTGTCTATTGTCACATCCACATCCATTGATACATTCACGGTAATAATTTTGTCTTCTTTCAGACTTATCACATACTGATATCACATTCTCTTAAGGGAATAAGAACGGAGCAAATTCAATGGGACGAGTTTTAATTCTTTGCCCACAATCATACATGAATTTGATCATGGCAAGGCATACAAACTTTACCACTTTGGATGGTTATAATTTCTTTCAAACTCCATTAGAGTTACAATCAAAATTTATCGTCTTCGTTTGTATTTAAAATTAAATTATAGAATAAAAGAGAAAAATATGGTAAAATACATACCTTAAATCCAGAATTTAATCACGAAGGAAATTCATGCAACAATTGACAATCATTATGCTCAATCCCAAAGCTTCTACTCAATTGTTTAGAGTCTCGTGCTGATCACGTGTTATGAAACAATAAAAGAAGAAGAAAAGTATTGCAGAGAAAAGTAGGGAAAGAGAACTCTTATTGATTTTGGGATGATTTACAATGGGGTAAGATCTCTCTATTTATAGGAAATGACTTAGCCACAAAGTAAAACTCTCTACAAGATAGACATTCACTCTAAATAGAATTCTATTCATAACACACACACACACACACACACACACATATATATATATATATATATAAATATTTTTTCGACTATTATTTTAAGAACGATTATACAGTATCATTTCCCAATTTTCAATGTAATTTTTTCAATGTAATTTTTCAAGTTTTAGGTAAGTAAAACAATAATTTGACCTTTTAAAATTCTGTTGTTAAGGCGTTAGTAAGTCTGGCGTTAGAAATGTAATTTTAACATAAAATTATATAGAAATAAAAACCATATGTAAAATTCAACATAAAAAAGAATAAAATAAACTATTATACAATGAACAAAATAGATTTGCGAAACTATCACAATTCTTTTGTTTCATGCACTTCCTTGGAACTTGCGTTTTGCCCTTCTCGTTATTTTGGAAAATTTTAAGCTTGCTGTCTCCTCTTTCGTGTGGTATTACTACTCCCTCAGGTTCACAATAATTGATCAATTTATTCTTTTTATTTTAGTTCAAAATAAGTATTCAATTAGATAATTAAGAAAAAATTCAATTTGTTTTTTACTCTTTTACTTTTATATGCATATCCCTAAAAAGTTTTCTCACTCCTCACTATAATTATGTGATCAATATTTAATGAGGATAGTTTAGTCATACTCGATATTTTTGTATTAGATTTAGCATTTTCTTAATGAGCGTGCTAAAAGGAAACTGGTCACTTATTATGAACCGAAGGGAGTAATTCTTAACTCATTTATTGGTACTTTCTACCTCCCTAACTCATGTTATTATATTCCTCAACCCACGTTTAAGCACGATCGTTGTAGTTCGATCTGATTGAATTGTACGGTCATGATAATGTCCGTGTCCATTACATATTTAAGATTTATCTTGATCATCTCATTTTAAAATAAATACTATATCATTTAACAAATTTATTGTTGTCAAGTCTGTCAATGTTTAGCTGTTTGGGTTCTGAATAAGGGATCGTATTATGAGAATTTATTATAATATGGATAATAATCAGGGTTTTAATGGTAAAATTAGTTGGTTGATCATCAAAACGTATACTCATCTAGGTGATGAATAACTGTATAGTAATTTTGAGTAGAATTTGCTTTCAAAGATTTTACTACATTTAATAATGTTTATTGCACATTAAACAAAGCAAGAGAATTAAAGGGTAAAACATTGAAACGTATTCAATATTTTATCATTTCATGTTTTTTTTTTTGGTAATATTATATCTTAAGTCGTGCATGCTCATAGATTCTCTTTGTTTTTTTCGCCCTTATTCTTTTTTTTTTGTTTTCCACCTGGTGTCCGGTATTCGTATTGGAGCCCGATTATATCCGAATTCGCTCTTATTCTCTTTTTAAGTTTGCGTGTAATCCAAAAACTAATTCAGTCCCGTGATCAAGGGCGAACTTAAATTTTTTAGAGGATTGGTTCACTACTAGTTTGATAGTAAAAAAAAAACAATAGTACAACAGGATGATCCTTGGTCCCTAGTGGGCAGTGACCACTGCAAGTACCAAGATTAGTCGCTGTTAAAATATGAGATAAACTTTGTTTACTGTCACTAATCACTCACCCTTTGGCAAAATTCTTTAACAACATTTCTTTTTTGACAAATAAATTACTACACTATATAGAAAAAGTTGCAAACAAGAAGGGAGTAATTTTCCTGCTAGATTTTGTTATATATTATCTTCTACTGAATTTATCAATTCGAAAAGTTTGAAATTCTCAATTAGGACTTAGGAGTGTGGACTTTTGGAATGGTTCGTGGACCGACTTAGCACGTGACAAAGGTGAGGGAATTGTCAGCTATCGTGTTTGTCTCTAAATCCACCGCCCCATGCTACAATTTGCTTCTTAAAAAAATAATTCGGTGAACTAAACTCTCGCTATGCACAGTAATCGAAAAAAAATCGAACCATAAAAATCTATCTCCTTTACATTGATGCTTCCTAAACGTGCGTCAAGAGGATACTAACGTGGTTGCACGTGCCTACCGCCTTGATATTTGGTTTTGATAGAGTTCCGAGCTCTCTACATTGTTGGATTCATTTTCTTTGTGCTAAGTACTAGCTGATCTCTTAGGGTTAATTTGGCACGAGCATAGAGGATAATTAATCTCAAGATTAAATTTAAGATAAATTTATAGTTAGCATAAAAGCGTGATATAATTATTCCGAAATTATTTATCCCGGGGTTGTTGTATTTATTTTTTATTTCTATGGAAGGATG